CATCCGTAGTACATACCCTACTGATTGAAAGTGCATAGTAGGAGCAGAAACCTTTGCTAGCATCTCAAGAGGATATCACAACTAATAGTCTGAATGCTGAGAGATGTGACAAGAGGAGGCATATTCCCCTCCTTCAAGTCCAGTTGCTGGTCATACAATAGTGTGACTAATGTGATTTCTGTCTGAATAAAAAATGTCCATATCTGCTTCCCTTAGGGTACAATGCAAGGAAAAGTGTACCATTCTCACTTTAAACTTCTTCCAAAAGTAAGACTGGTGATTCGGTGGTATTTATCTAAAATGGCTAAATCTGAGTTCTTGAGGAGAGAATAGGGCACTGCCACTTTTAATATACCTAAAATAGACAAACTGTGAAGATTGTCTTCTGCTACCACACCAGTCCTCCAAAGATGCTCTCTATATCGAAAATTATCTTTGGAGGCAGGTTAATTTCAACCTAGTAACAGCTTATCATTTTTATTTTGGAAATGTGCGCTTGTATGACACATAAGTGAAGTTTTGTGAATAAAATACAGTTTTTCAGGTGTTTTTTTTTTTTTTTTTTTGCTTTTGTAGAGTGCCAGTTTCCATTTGCCTGTAAAGTGCAAACATGTAAACAATAATTTAAAATTACATCATTGTTTAACATTTTTGAGATAATAGAAAAGATATAGCTGCCCATAGTGGTATTTCTGCCTACAAGATAACTTTGGTGGCTTCAACTTTAGCTACTGAACTTGAGACACAAATATATTTTGTTCTTTTTTAAAATCCCAGTTATCTCTGTTTTAGTACCGTGAGCATTATTTTGTTGATATATGGAAATAATATTTCTGTCAGTATTACAGTATTATACTGTTAGCACTATTTTAGAATGAAAGCTATATGTTGGCTTTAAGTTGCGGTAACTTGTATGGAGCTTTTTTCATTTATTTTTATATTATTTATTTTTAGAAAATTCTAAACTGCTTCCCAAGGATTCCATGACAGTATACATTCAATTATAGAAATATATACAATATAATCAGGAAAAGAAAACCCAACTCTGAGAGTCAAAACAATTCTTAATATACATATACATACATACTTACATATATACATCATTTCCCTTTTGGGATAAGTAACATTATGAAAAGAATGTAGAAGTAATAATAAATTATAAACCAAAACCAACAGGGATAAAATAAGAAAAGGAAAGGAAACATCTGGCTTATGCTAGTATGTTAGCTGGCATGCTAGTTTGCAAGGCTAGGAAACTGGAAAATATTGGGAATGGCGGAAACACCATTCCTTATATTTTCCATAGTTTCCTAACCTTGCTTCCACTATCAACTATATGCTGCTTCATAAACTGTCCTTGTTCTTTAAAGTTCTCACCTATCACTTTCTAAAAATCAATCAACTCTTTTCAGCCACAACTTTAATTCAGGGGTGGGATTCAATTTTTTAAACAACCGGTTCTATGGGTGTGGCTTAGTTGGTGGGTGTGGCTTTCTGGTCATGTGACTGGGCGTGGCCAACTTGACATCACTTACATCAAGGGGTGCTTCTCCTTGCCTGGCCTCTCATGACAGTGGGGATGCTGCAATGGTCGTAAGTATGAAAAATGGTCATGAGTCACTTTTTTTTAGTGCCATTGTAACTTTGAATGGTCACCAGTTTTAGACCAAAACTCAAAAAGGGTATGTAAACTCATGTTTCAATGTCAATCTTTCTAGCTATCTAAGAAGCCTTGCTGAATGTCACTTATCTTGCTTCCTTGTCATCAAGCAGCTCTGCTTCATTATTCAATTATTCCTTCAAAGTGCTAATTCCAACGAGAGCATTTCCTCCCAACAGCAGTGTAAAAAGCTTAAAACAACTCTTCCCCCTTTAGAAAGTACCAGCAAAGGAAAAAACCCTCCTTCAGAGACAGTAAGTCTAGGCATGCTGCCAAGAATGTAAGAAGGGTGGAAAAAAACAAAAGCAGATTTCTTCCAACAACTGGTTCTCCGAACTGCTTAGAAAGTTAACAACCGGTTCTATCGAATAGGTGAGAACCTGTAGAATCCCACCCCTGCTTTAATTGTCCCCTTTCTTCCTTTTGACCTCTTCCTTCATATATTTCTTTTGTGATTCACTTCCCATTCCTTCTTTTTGTGAACAAACCACCTGAACATACCCCTTTCATACTTACCATCACTTATGTATCCACATTCATTCAGCACCCATTTATTTTTTTATTCACACACTTCTTGTTCAACCATTCACACAACTTAATTCCCATGACATTCAACTAACTCTGATGTTTCTGCTGCAATATCCAATGAAAAGAATTTTTATATGCAACCATTTTTACTTCTTTTGACATTTCTTTTCACACACACACACACACACACACACACATATTCAGAACTACTTAGATGGCATCTATCTAATATCTGCTTAAATAATTTGGATTCTCAGCCTTCAATATGGCATTCTTTGCATATAAAACAACATGTACCTGGATGTACTTATATAAGCAACCAACTAATATTGGTACCACAAGCATTCTACATTGATCCATAAATTACATTAAAGAACCAAACGGACTTCTGACATTCTTTCCCTTAGTTTCACAAATACACCTGCTATTTTGTTTTCTTCCTTCATGTTGATCATTCATTTCAATAGTTATTTCATAGTCTTTTGCCATTTACTTCTCTTATGTTCCAGATAGCTATATTCCTTTTGTCACCCATCAGGTATTTTGTCAATGAAGATTTTTACACAACACAAAGTAATATTCTTTTGATCCTTTTGGACATGAATAAAATTGAATTTAATGCACAATAATGTAGACACCGTGTAAATTGGACACCAGCTTAGTCATATTGGTACCATATGTTGCATTCCTTAAAGAAGGATAAATAAAGGACCTTTCATTTTGGGCACGTTTGATTGATATACCACAAATGCAATCAGTTTCATCTCAAGCATACTCATGCTAATCTAACCAGGAATTTTAAAACATGCAGAGTAATGAAACCTCATGACCTTTAATAAAAATAAATCAGCCAGAATTCTTGAAGTCGCGCTCTCTACAACCAAAAGTCTCCAAATATTTCTCAATTTTTCCCTATACGTATGGATCCTTGATCCCTATCTAGGAAAGGCTTATCTGTAGAGACCCAATACTTGGAATTCATTATAAAATTTAGATTATTTATAAAGAAATAATAGATTCACGGTGTTATAATTATTTCTTCCTCAATTCAAACTTTTTTGTTTCTGCATGTCTTTTCATTCTCTGTTCATTGTGTGCTGAAAGCTACTACACTTCAATGCTTGACATGAATTTTTGATTAATTTTATGCTATTTCTAAGTTTTTATTTATAAGCTTGTCTGAGCACCATGACAGAGGAGAAACTAACAAATATTTATAAATAAATAGTTCAATCAATTATTATTTGTATGGATTAAAAACCTAATCACTTTTTCATATATACAAGAAAGCAAAAATAAATTCAGTACATAGAATGATTTATTCAAAATATGTGTTCTACCTCCTTTGGGCCTTCAATTCCATTTCATATAAAATGGGGAGAAAATGTGGCAAATATAAAACTGATTTGTTATTGTTCAGAAAATATAAACAAGAAGCAAATCTGGCTTTAATACAACAGTACTGAGTATAGGATAGACTTTAAAAATAGGATTAAATAGTATGCAAATTAAGGAGGATACAAAGAATTTCAATTATTTCAAAACACATTCTACCTGCATTTGTCTATGATAAATCTGATTAAGACAACTTTTATGATCAACTCACAATACCCTTAGTTCTTGTTGTTTCAGCTATTTATTTATTTACTACAATTTATTATGTACCTGAACTTGACCTGTACGCTTACATTCTCGTCTTTTAAGAAAAATAGAACAAATTCATAAAAGTAAAAGTAAAAAAAAAGTAAAAGAGAACATGAGTATTGCACATTGTAGTTATTGAAAAATAACATTACTTTGTTCAGCTATGCCTGCTCCTTAAAAATTGTCATGCTGAAAAGATATCACAAAGCATTGAGCTACTGAAATCTTTCTGGAAATAAATTAATGAAATGAAACTTATTTATCTAATATATTTCCATTATTTAAAAGTTTAAAATGGAGATAACCTGATATGCATTCTACTTGATTCAATTTAGTGAAATATGAAAAATAATGGAATATTGCTTTGTAAATCTGCAATTCCATGTACTTTATTCTTAAATTAACAATTTACATGAGCCATGAGAATGTTTCATTACTTTGCAGACTTCACTAAACTGAATACAACAGCAAGACTAGAATTTAGATAAGGGAAACAATCTAGCCTTGAAATTCAGGCCTTGTGTAGCCTAAAATTAATACTGAATACCAGATGTTTAGCTGTTTGTAGACACAGAGCAAAAGATGTACCAATTTATAAACATGCCAGAAATATATAGATTTAACATTGGGCAGCAGGCATAGGTAACTCAATATTATTAAACTATAAATTTATTTCAGATGTAAATGCAATCTAATAGACATAAGACATTAATCAATTTCTTGCAAATCTAAGTTATATCCTTAAAATGTCTACCAGATTTTGTGAAATAATATTTATTACATTGATACATATTTGCTAAGCTAGCATGAAGTGAACTGTTAAAAGATGTCAACACCAACCATTAAATGTTTTCCTACTATGAAATACTGTAAATATGGGATTATGGCATATGTCATATTGCTTGGATTTGTCCTGACAAAACTGAAAGAGTAACTAAAAGAACAATAGCTGGTTAATCACAAACCTTATACATTACCTTCTGTTACAAAATTATCACAGTAAGCTGTATCCATAAAATAACCAATAATTTCTAAAACATAGTGGTCGGGTTAAAAAACAACAACATAAAATGTTTTGGAATTGGACTTATTTTCAGTTAAATATACATATGAATATTTCACATTTGAGTCAGCAGGATTCTATTAACAAATAAAAGAAATGACTTACATTTTTCGAAGACTAGAGAGCTTCTTGAATATTCCCGTAGCTTCCAGAATTGAAATATCATTATCGTGTAGACGACTTTTGAAAAAAAATAAAAAAAAATATTGAAACATCGTTGGTCCTCAGCACCTATCTTTATATTCATTGCAGAATATTGCGAAAAGGAAAGCTATATAGTTGTGATTTTGTTGAAGTAGATTAGACAAACACAGGTTCCAGTTCGCTCAGTCGTGAAGTTCCCTGGTTGGGTCAATCCTTTTTTCTGTTTAGTTTACTTTAAAGAATTTTTATAAGAACAAAATGAGATGAAAGTCAGATGCCTTGATTCTCAAAGCAGGAGACTACATGGACACATGAATATTGAAATTCTTTGCTGTTGCCTCCTACTTGATGTTTTACCAATCTCCTAATCCAGATGACAGGTTGTGAACTCTATAATACTTTCATCATATTTATCTGTCCATATATTAATCAATTAAAGTCAAAATTAAAAAAATTAAAATTAAAAACCCCATCCAATCCAACATCACTCAAAACTAGGCACGCACGCCCCTAACTACCTCTAATCCAACCACAACTGGCCTTACATGCAAACTACTCAATGCAAGAAGCCTTGTAAATAAAATACCTGAATTTCTCCTCTTACTAAATACGGCTAAATTCGACATTATATTTGTGAAACATGGCTCAACGCATCTCTCCCTGACTCCATTTCCACAGTAAGAGACTATCATGTTTACCAATCAGATGGTGCAATCCGTAGAGGAGGTGATGTTGCTATCTTCTATAAAAAGTCCCTACATCTGAAAAACATCCAAGTTACCCAGGAGCTTGCTATCCCTGAGACCATCGTCTGTGAACTGTCCTTAAATATCACATTTTGGTTCTTATTATGTTACAGAGCCCCTGATTATGACATTGAACATGCAAACAAGCTAAATACACTACTAACATGGGCAGCATCCTGCCCACACGCTTTAATCTTTCTTGGTGACTTCAATCTACCTCATATTAACTGGACCCTTAACGAATGTACAACTGAACCCACACATGCACCTTCTACAATGCAGTAACAAATCTGGGACTAGAACAACTAGTAACCAACAATACTAGACTTAACAACTGCCTTCATCTCATCTTCTAAATTCAATTTATGAAATACAAATTAAAGAACCCTTTTCCAACAGTGACCACAACATGATTGTCCACAGTGACCACAACATATGTCCACACAAAAATCATCACAACGACAGAATTCCCAATTATAACTTCAAAAAAGGCAACTATGATCTTATAAACAACAATCTCTCATCCCTTGATTGGCAATCTCTATTATCTGGATACAATACTGTAGAAGACCATTACAACATATTTTTACTTGAAGTCAAAAGAGTCATCAAACTATATGTACCATTAACAACTCCCAAAACCAGAAAAAACAAATTACCCATAACAATAAGGAAGCTTCAATCCAAAAAGAAATCACTTTGGCAGAAAAACAAATCTGGTCACGTTGCCAACTTCAAAAGCTGATACAAAAATTTATGCCACCAGATAAAAACTGAATGCACCAATTATCACATTAAACAAGAAGAAAACCTTCTATGCACCAATTCTACCCGCGCTTTCTACAATTTTGTAAACAACAAACTAAAAGACTCAAGGTCCATCCCACCCCTGAAAGGACCTAATGGTAAAGACTGCAATGACAACACTATTAAAGCCAACCTCTTTAACTCATTCTTTGGCTCAGTATTTGTAAACAGCAAAGGATCAAGCCCAGTATTTCCTAGTCGAACCACAGACAACTACAATGATCTAATACATATCGATTTTACAGAAGACAATGTTGAAAAACAACAATCAGCAATCTAAAACCCTCTCTATCTATTGGACTGGATGGAATATGTGCCTACTTGTTAAAAAAGCTATCCACTGCCATAGCTGAACCTCTAAGCATAATCTTTGAAAAATCTTTCAGGACCAGATCCTTGCCAAAACTATGGTCATAAGCCACGGTCATACCCATTTTCAAAAGGGAGACCCCAGCCTAGTTGAATATTACAGACCTATCTCTTTATGCTGCGTCACCTGTAAAGTCATGGAATCAATTATTAACCAATCCATCATCCTCCACTTAGAAACAAACAACCTACTCTCTAATAAACAATTTGGTTTTAGGAAAAAACTATCATATAATCTGCAACTCTTACACTGCAAAAACATATGGACTACACAACTCGATCAGGGCAAAGCAATAGATGCAATCTACATAGACTTCTGTAAAGCCTTTGATTCAGTGGTACACGACAAACTACGGCTAAAACTAAAATCTTACGGTATCTCTGGACAGCTGCATAACTGGATAGAAGCATTCCTGTCAAACAGACTGTTAGGGATAACATTGTTTTACCCTAACTGTTTTGGGTAAAGATAA